CATTAATTACCCTTCGTCGTGTCGTTGTTGTATATGTCGTAATCGTTCCGGGGCTGTCACGCATCGTCCGTCCTACCGGACCATGCGCTTGCTGCGCTGGATGAAAGGAGATGGCATCTCCGGCTCGGTTTCGGGGTCCCATACTGCGGGTGGACTGATACCGCCAGTTCGCTTGACGGGACTCCTTCGGCCGTTGTATCCGAAGCCCTTCTTCGCGCCTCCCTCGTCTTCACTCATAGTGTGCACAGGGATACCGCGCGCTTGTTGAAGTTCGACTAGTGTGCGGCCCTGAACACCGCCGTTGTTGCGCATCGCTTGGACGCGGAATGCCTCATTGCCCTTCTTTGATGGGAGTCCGGCGAATGGAATGGACTTTGTAGTAGCGCCTGTCTTGCGCGGCGATGTTGATGCGGTGTCGGTGGACTTAGACTTCGTTCGAGAAGGCGACGCAGCGACGATGGGTACGGCGGAAACAGGACGGGGCTTTGTAGTTCTGGGACCCAGGAGGTTTGGTGTGCTTACCAATCGACCGTTGGCCTTTAACAGCGGCGCTTGGGCATTTGCGAGCACTTTGAAGGGGTCCGCACTCATAGGACGACCCCCAGAGGCGCTTCGTGCGCGGGTTGGCGATGGCAGAACAGGAAGATCATCATCGTCGTCGAAGTCGGCGTTCCACTCTGCCTCAGTTGGCGACGGGGGAACGTCAGCTTCCCACTTCTTCGCGCCTTCCTTAGCAGCAGCGAAGATGTTTTGCTTAGGTTGCTGGTTGCGACGAGGGGAAAGCGAGAGTCCCTTGAGTGAGATAGGTGCCGGCGACGGCTCAGCCATCTGCACATCCATGGGAGAGTCGGGTACTTGTGTGGTGGAGGGTTGAGAGAACATTGTGCGGGCGCGGACGAGTGGACCGCGGGACGGTCGCTTTGCCTTTGGCTTAGCTGCGATGGTAACATCTTCGGTGTGGTCGTCCAGGGAGAGTGACGATAGGTCTGTTCCGCTGGCGAAGTCGGAGTCTGTGTTGAGGGTGTTTTGCGAGCCGCTCTTAACGGCACCATCGGACTCTGCTGAGAACAAAGCAGACGTTGGTTCTGTTGCCGCCATAGTAGGCGTATTGGACCGAGGAGCCAGCTTTGGCGATGTGCTCAGACGGTTGGGGTACATCTTCAGGGCGCGCTCTACCCGCCTGTTCACTTCTCCCTCGAAGGTCGCCTGGAGCTGAGCCAGCTCTTTTTGTACTCGTTGTTCCGTTTGCAGCTTCACTTGTCGCTCAATCTCCAACTGTGCTTTGACTTCCCACTCTCGTCGTAATTGGTCGTCCAACTCTTTGCGTATCCGTGAAATGGCTTCGCTTGCCTCCTTCTCCCGCTTCGCTGTCAGCATACGCTGCTCACGGAGGTCTTGTCCCAGCTTGACGACTTCCTGCTCTTTGCGCATAAGCTTGACAATTGGCAGGTTGAGAAGCGCGGCTGTGTCTGGTCGGTTGTCGGGCGTTGTGTTCAGGCAGCTCGCAATGACCTTTCGTAGTTCCGCCGAGTAGCAGGCCGGTATGTCGGGGTATCGGCCCAGCTTGATCTTCGAGATGAGCTCGAAGTGTGTTTTGGCATTGAAGGGTGGTGACTTTGTGCACATCTCGTATATGATGCACCCGAGTGCCCAGATATCGGAGTGGGGACCATATTGCTCGGCTTTGCAAATCTCAGGCGACATGTAAAACGGCGTGCCGACGTAGGTAGAAGCGAAGTCGTGGGATTGGAGGATCTTGGACAGACCGAAGTCGCCCAGCTTGACGCTGTTGTCATCGCCAAGGAAGACTGTGAGTTGTTAGCGCAGAGTCACGCGACGTGGAGATGACCAGATACTGACTGTTCTCGGGCTTGAGGTCTCTGTGGAGAATCATGGGCTTGCGCGGGTCACGGGCAGGCTTCGCGTTGCCAACGAGTCCCATGACGTTGCGGCCTGCCGCAGGTGGGTCTTCGCCGTAGTGGCAGCGGTACAGGGCGCTGACGATTTGGCTGAAGATGCTCCAGACGAACTCCTCCTCGCACACCTGGTTCTTGTTCTTGAGGTCGCGGATGACACGCCCGAGGTCGCCGTTGCCGCAGTACTCCATGTAGAGGTGAAGGTCCTGCGATGCCTTGATGTGGTCGCGCTCGAAGTAGGCGACGATGTTGGGGTGGCGGAGCTCCTTGAGGATGGACAGCTCGGCCTGGAGCTGCTCGCGTTCCTTCTGCGACATCTTGAGATAGCTGATTTCCTTGCGGCACAGGATCTACGCGGCGGTTAGCACGTCGTCGCGCGCGCAGGCTTCGTCGTCGCTGCTTACATAGCCATCTGACTTCCGCTTGACTTTGCGGATGATACCAAAGGACCCATGGCCTATACAACGTCAGTATGCGTCCTCTTGCGCCTATCGGGGGCGGTCCGTACCAATCTTCTCGAGCACATCGTACTTTTCTTCCTCGGGCATGGTGAAGGTATTGCTATTGCTCAAAAGACATGCAACGATTAAGGGTAGGATAGGGTAGCAAGCTGCTGGGTTAGTAGAGCTCGGAGGTAGCGAGGGATGTATGTAATGTACAGTGGGTGGGATGGAAGCCAAGTTTCCTTGGTGTTTGGCCCTGTTTACGCTAACGGCCGTCAACCCAGCAACGCTGCACGCGCCTCACGTGTTGCAGTTGCCAGGCGCACGCACCCCTGTCACTGCCCTTATCGATAGTCACGCCGATCTCCGCCGCCACTCGTCATCGCAGAGCAATAGTCACTTTCACCTCCACCATGTCGCCGTTACTGAGGACCTCTCCTTCTTGCCACAGCCATGGACGTCAAGAAGAAGTACGAGATCGAGGCGGCCCTCGCGACCGAAGCCCAGGCGATCTCCTCGGGCCAGCTCAAGGAAGAGAATCCGCTGGACACGAGCGAGGATTTCAGGGTCTTCTGTGAAGCATGCCGGCGGGGCGACTTGAAGGTTTGCCAGGAAATGATATCGACCGGGGTAAACATCAACGCAAGAGACAGGTTTGATTACACCCCACTTATCTTAGTAAGACAATCTCCGATTTCAAATCTAAACAATTCGCTATTCAATCCAGAGCGCTGACCGCTGAAGGCCAGTCTATGCGGTCACTACGAAGTCATACGCCTGCTGCTCGAAAACGGTGCACTCTGCGAACGCGACACGTTCCAGGGCGAGAGATGTCTATACAATGCGCTCAACGACCGTATACGTAACCTACTGCTATCCTACGACTATGCGAAATCCTCGAATCCCTTACAACCGCTGGCAGCGCATATTACTTCGCTCCTCACGCGACCTTCGCCCAAGACGACAGACATTACCATCACAGCCTTCGACCAAGAGTTCCACCTCCACAAATTCCTCCTCGCCGCACGATCGCCCTACTTTGCGAAGAAGCTCGAGACAGCGCCGAATACAGCGTCATGGAAACTACCCAATACTATACCCGCCGAGTCGCTAGGTGTGGCGTTGCAGTATTTGTACTTCCAGGAAGTCTCAATACGGAGAGCGTTACATGGGCTGAGTGACGAGCAGGAGCTGGTTGTGCTAAAAGGCATAGATAAGATTGGCAAGCAGCTGGAGATAGAACGCCTGTTTGAAGATATAACAGAAGTCTCGGATCGAAGATTATTGCGCCAGCGAAGAGCAGAGGAATTGGAACGCGGCAGAGATCAGCTAGAGGGCTGGTTCAAGAACAACGTCCTCCGGCATAAAAGAGTCGTAGACACCGCAAAAGTGGACAGTATACAATGGGACCGGGAAAACTCCATCTTCGCCGATATATTACTGCGCGCCGATGACGATGACGAGGACCAAGACTCCGATGGCACAGATCGGTCACCAGGGCCGTCGGAGTCATCTACGCCGCCTGTGCGAAGCACACCGGGGCCTCTTCTAGGCATACCTGTCGGATCAGGTCGCTCACGTTCGAGGTCGCCGTCCCGCCAACGAGCGTCCCGTAAATCGACCATTTTCCCTGCGCATCGAGCTATGCTATTGCGCTCCGAATATTTCCTGACCATGTTCAGCTCGCAGTTCAAAGAAGCACAAGATACACCGCATTTGCAGATTGTAACCATTGACTGCTCGCCAGCCGTCCTGGAAACCATACTCACCTTTATGTACACCGAGCGCGCCGACTTCGGACTCGATATTGCCATCGACGTGCTCTTCGCTGCAGATCAGCTCTTCATCGAGAAGCTCAAGCAGCGCGCCGCCATCATCATCTCTGCGCTAGGCAATGGCGCAACCTCAGCAGTCGAGTCAGACAACCCACGGGGAGCTACAGATGCCGATGAGGCCGTGGATATTTACGAAGTTATTCGAGCCGGGTGGGATACAAGGGTGCAACGCCTCGAAGAATTTGCTGCGCGATACATCGCCTATCGACTGGAACACTACATCGACCAACCTGAGTTTGCAGAGCTGGTGCAAGAATCTGCGAATCGCGTCAAGGCACGTCAGGAGACTGACACTGTCGAACTTGTCGACGATATTCGCTACTACCTCTCGGAACGATTCAGGCTTCGCTTCGAAGACAGCGGGCTGGATGAGATGATGGATGAGAACGCAGCCATGCAAGCTAGTACCGAGGGAGATCTCGTTGACACAATGGGCGATCTCGCATTAGAAGACAGTGTACCCGACAGTGTACAGCAGGACGAGAACATCGCGGCGGTTGAGCAACAGATTGCTGCTGGTGTGATTAGGAATTTAGACGGCGAGGAAGTTGGTGATGAGTTTGCTCAGGATGCGATGAATTATCAAATCTTGCTGGGAAAGATAGACACCTTGCTAGAGAAGCTGAACTTGGATGCTTAGATAGCCAATCCAGTTAGGCCCGGGTAAATCCCTAGCGGTCTTGGAACTCATGTATTTTATTGGAGTACGCCACATTCTCATGATACCTTCAGCATTCACCTTTCACCCCCCAATTTGCAAAATCCTTCCTGGCACATTCCTCGGCCTCACGTCAACTTACGCTGTCATGCCTTCTCAATTGGTGGACGACTGCATCCGCCTGGACCTCCTGTGCCGGCTACGATGGAATCTGTTGACCGGCTGGCACGATATTGAGATTGTGGTGGGGTCCAAAGACGAAGAAAAGATTGTCCCGCTGATCGACCACCCCTATGCGAACGAAGAGATTAGCGAGCCTGGACTGAGCCGCATCGAGGTGAACAGCCGCGAATGTCTCGAAAAGTTCGACCTCTCGTACGATTCTAGCCCTGAGGAGGACGGCTATCGACCCCCACCTCCTCTAATCATCGAGAACGAAGACGGGAAGCACATCACATTGAGGCAATTTGTTACCGAAGTACATGCCTATCTCAATGAGCATCTGGCCGAACTCAAGAAAGCCCAGCGCGTAATGGCCGCCGAGCCTTGGTCGGAAACGATGTTGTTCTACAGGCGCGCCTTGCCAAGAAGGACCGATGATGGTCACATCATTGTGAACGTTGAGATGATGCCTCGGGCGCCTGATGAGGAGACCAGGAAAAGGCTTTGGGCCGCTCAACTGAGACAAGCCGAACACTACGAAGGAAAGCGCCGACCTCGTCGATAGTCTATCGAACCGATCCTGCCGAGGTGACATACTCTATGAAATCGAGCGATGTCTCGCTCGTAGGCAAGACGCTGAACGAGAAGTGGAATCCTGGCAAGGTCAAATTATCCTACAGCAGGATCGTGACGGAGATCATGGCGGTCAATATCACCACCTTTGTCGAAGTCGTGCCTGCGGGTGGAAGGGTGACGTAGAAGGTACGATTTCGGGAGACTGTTGGAATTGCCGGTTGAATCCTAATCGCGACTCCGATTGATGGACTTGATGGAGGGTTCGGTGTCTTGAGTCTTTGTTGTATGATTGCATGTAGTCTTCTAGTTATTTCCAGATGATATGCGATGTTCATCGTCTCGGGCAAGAGCACGCTGTTGGTGACATCATGGTGGGGTAGCCGCGGTGCTCAGTTCCCCACCCAACCGTCGTTGACAGTTTGACAAATACCTTAGCAACTCATAATGCGCGTCATTGCTCGAACAACTTCACTTCTTCAATCTCCAATTGCTCGAATCTTACCTCAGAACTTACGAGGATTTTCAATTGCGGCACCACGTTTCTTTACACTCCGCCCAACAACGCTTCCACGTAAACAAGGGCTATCCGCCATCTCCAAACAACAGACCGCAACGATGTCGACAGAATCCACACAGTCGCAGGCATGCTGCAACACACCCGCTGTAGTCAGCGAGGGCTACCAACCCAAGGGCGATTACATTGAGGCAGACGGACTGAAGACTTGTACGTCCCAGCACGACATCACCAGGGACCGCAATTAACTTCCAACAGATCAAACCGGCCCCAAGGACGCAAAACAAGGAATCCTAGTCGTCTACGACATCTTTGGATTCTTCAACCAAACACTCCAAGGTGCTGATATCTTGGCTTACACCGACAACCAGAAGTACCAGGTCTTCATGCCCGACTTCTTCGAGGGCAAGCCAGCCGACATCTCCTGGATGCCCCCGGACACCAAGGAGAAGGAGCAGAAGATGGGCGAGTTCTTCCAGTCGCAGGCTGCGCCGCCAAAGACGTTGCTGCGCATCCCGAAGATTGTCGATGAACTCACTCAGAAGTACGGAATTGAGAAGTGGGCTATCATTGGCTTCTGCTGGGGCGGAAAGGTACGGAAGAGCTAGCCAGATCACCTACGACGTATCTCCTAACACTGTACAGATTGTCAACTTGTCTTCCATGGAAGGCACAAAGTTCAAGGTCGCAGCAGCATGCCACCCCGCCATGGTTGCTGGCGACGACGCCCCCGGCATCAAGATTCCCTACATCATGCTTCCATCAGGCGACGAGTCAAAGGATGACGTCAAGAAGTGGCAGGAAGGCATCAAGGTTCCTCACGTGGTTGAGTGGTTCCCAGACCAGATCCACGGCTGGATGGCGGCGCGCAGTGACCTTTCGCAGGAGAAGGTCAGGAAGGAGTACGAGCGCGGATACAAGATGGTGTTGGATTTCTTCCACAAGCATATGTGAGTTTAATGGAAGAGCTGCGGTAATGTAGGTAGAATGCTCATTTCGCTAGGAGTTCTGAGGCGAAGCTCTAGTGTAAATACCGGTAATGTCGACACGAAACAATATAACGTAGGACAGAATAACTCTTCTTCCCAAACTGTGACTGTGGGTGTGTTGTTAGCAGCCTCGAAATTCCTAAATATAGGCATGGCTGCGCCAGCTATCCTATGCCCAGGCGGATCAATCATCGCCAACGTTTTAATCCATGGCCAATGTGGAAAAGGTCCGAAGTCATCGCAATGAAGGTTGCAGAGTAGAGTTACGGGTAGGTGTGGGGCTCAACACGTGGGGTTAGGTACTCTGGGGCCGCCAGCCGCGTGCATTGGCGTAGAACGGCGGTTGGGAGGCCGAGGGCATGTCGGCAATTGATCACGTTGCGGATGGCCATGTCGCAGGTTATCTAGAAGCATTGGGCAGACTTCGGCGCATTTCTGTCGCGACATTTACCTTCATTGTTTCTCTGCGCATCTTTCACGTACATTCTTCATTCAAAGACATACAAGAAAGATCTCATCATGGCTCTTCCGATCGGTGCGTGTTCCCATCTCAAGTAGCGGCCGTGGCGCGCTTGTCGTCCCATCCAGCTCCCGACCATCTCTACACAACCGTCGTCGTACATGTTGGTTAACGAAGCTTTGAAGCACCTCAAGCTGTAGCAGGCGCAATCGCAGGCGTTACTGCCGCTGCAGCCTACATCGACGCCAAATACCACATCACCAAAGACCTCAAAGGCCAACGCGTCCTGAAAGCTGCCGCGCGCGATCTCGAGAAGAATGGTAAGCCGAAGCTGCGTATGCCTCCTACCACCCACGTTCTAACAAGACAACAGCACAAGGCAGAGGCCAATCTCTGTGGTACCAATTCGAAGCCCAAGTACACCGCCTGCCCTCGACCGAAGAATGCATCTGGTCCCGAACCGGCTGCTACACCTGGGCCGAAACCTACGCGAACGCCTGCCGATACGGCCAATACCTCCGCCAGAATGGAGTCGTTCCCGGGCAGCTCTTTGCCATGTACATGATGAACCGGCCGGAGTTCCTCTTTGCACATCTGGGTAGCTGGAGCATAGGAAGCGCGCCGGCGTGGATCAACTACAACCTCGCAGGCGATGCGCTGGTGCACTGCTTGAAAGTCAGCGGCGCCAAGGTGCTGCTTGTGGATGAAGACCAGGAGTGCAGAGACCGCATCGAAGCTGTCAGGGAGAGGTTGGAGAGCGAGCTGGGCATGACTGTACTGGTCTTGGACACCGGGTTGAAGGGAGAGATATCGAGGCTGGAACCTACTAAGCCTGAGGATGAGCTTAGGGCGGGCATGAATGGAAAGTTCCCGCTCTTCCTGTTCTATACAAGGTTAGTTACCGCCGCTGTGCTGTGAAGAGGACAATGCTAACTACAACAGTGGCACAACTGGACACCCGAAAGCTTGCCCCTTCGAGACGCAAAGAGCCGTTGGTTTGACACAGCGTGTGGGTGCTATGGGACTAAAAACAGGACCGAACGGCGATAGGTGGTATGTTTGCATGCCGCTATACCACGGTACGGGAGGCACGACGGCACTCGTCTGCATGGTCACCGGCCTTACATGCTGTATCGGCACCAAGTTCTCTACATCGAAATTCTGGACCGACGTACGCGATTCGAGATCTACCGCCATTGTCTACGTAGGAGAGACAGCTCGTTACCTTCTCAACGCCCCTCCTAGCGACCTCGACCGGAAACACAATGTTAGAGCCATGTTCGGCAATGGTCTTCGTCCCGATGTATGGCAGCGCTTTGTCGATCGCTTCGGCATCGAGATCGTCGGCGAGTTCTTCAACAGCACAGAGGGCGTCATGGCGCTTTTCAATGGCTCGCGTGGGCCTTTCACAGCAACTTCAGTTGGACACCAGGGTATCATCGAGCGCTGGCGCTCCCATAACACTTACGTCCCAGTCGAGATCGATTTCGTAACCGGAGACCTCTTGCGCGATCCTAAGACCGGATTCTGCAAACGCAAGTCCTACGAGGAGGGCAGTGAGATCCTCGTACAGATGCCGAGCGAGCAAGCCTTTGTCGGCTACTGGAACAACCCGGATGCTACTGAGAAACGCTTCGAACGCAATGTTTTCAGGAAAGGCGACTTGTATTACCGTACAGGCGACGCTCTCCGCCGCGACGCCGACGGCCGCTGGTTCTTCATGGACCGCCTCGGCGACACCTTCCGCTGGAAATCGGAGAACGTGAGCACAGCTGAAGTCAGCGAGGCACTTGGCTCTTTCCCCGGGATTCAAGAAGCAAACGTCTATGGTGTCGAAGTGCCTGGCTACGACGGCCGCGCAGGATGTGCAGCCATCTACATCGACCCCGCACATCTCGACTCATTCAACTTCAACGCGCTACTTGCGCACGCGAAGGAGAAGCTGCCGAAATACGCAGTGCCTGTTTTCTTGAGGATACAGAAACAGCAAACTACGATGCACAACAACAAGCAGAACAAAGTTCCGCTGAGGAATGATGGTATCGATCTGAGGAAGCTTATGGAGAGGGCGGATAAAGAGGCGAGGGAGCAAGGAAAGGAAGAGGCGGAATACGATACCATGTACTGGCACCCGACTGCTCTTGGGTCTGGAAAAGGCAAGAGTGGCGGTGATGATGGATATGTTGTATTCACCATGGCGGATTGGGATTTGCTGAAGGGAAGTGTAGATGTAGAGGGTGGTGCCAAGCTGTAAGGTTCCCCAGTATATAATTGCTTTTAGTCTGTAAATCGTAGCGTCTTCGTTCTGTAATAAACATCATGTCTGCGAACACGCGTGAGCCATGACTGGGTTTGTTTGTGACACTGTCGCGTCTTCATTGTCGTTTCACTTCTCTTCCATCAACGTAGGCTCGAACTTCTCCTTCCTGGCCTGCACAGCACCAGAGGCCTTCCACGCAGACAGAATCAAGTCCACAATAGCATCCACACCTTGGTCCCTCTTGACGACCGCAAAGATAGTCGGTCCACCCTCACGCATCCTCCTGCTATCCCGCTCCATAACACCCAGATCCGCACCGACCGCCTCGGCAAGATCGATCTTGTTGACGACCAGCAGGTCTGATTGCGTGATACCCGGACCACCCTTCCTGGGGATCTTATCACCACCCGAGACATCGATAACGTAGATGATGAAGTCAGCGAGTTCGCGCGAGTAGTTGGCAGCGAGATTGTCGCCGCCGGACTCGATGAGCAGGAGGTCCGTGTTGAACTTTTGGTGCAAGTTGGTGAGCGTCATGAGGTTGACGGAGATGTCTTCGCGGACAGCGGCATGGGGACAGCCTCCCGTTTCGACAGCGACGATGCGCTCACTATACTCGTGTCAAACATGCCCCGGCAATGTGCGTATTGTGGCTGCTCTTACGCGGGCAAGGCGTTGTTCTTGGTGAGGAACTCGCAGTCTTCTCGCGTGAAGATGTCGTTTGTTACCGCGGCTATGGAGAAGCGTGTTCGGAGGTGTTTGCACAGGGCTAGCATGAGAGCTGTCTTGCCCGAGCCTACCGGTCTAGGCTGGTCAGTATCTTGAGGATATAGTACATCTTGCCATGCCAACCCTGCAGCAGGCAAACATCGGCCGAGCAGTGTAGCAACATGTACGTGTCACACGGGGTCCATCGTACCCTCCAATTCCGATAGTGAAGGACCGGTCTTCCCAGTCTCTTCCCTCGATGATGGGCAGCTCGCGGCCCAGGTAGCTCCCCGGCCCATCGAGGATCTCATGCGTGTGGCCGTGATCCGCAGCCTCGTGCGAATGCGAATGCGACGCGCCTTCGTGTGAGTGGCCGGTAGACATTGTTGTATGATGTAGTATGACTATCAGTCAACAGCGGAAGCCAGCAAGCAGGAATGAAGCTCGAGGATCTCCATGGTGGGGCACGACACGACGAGAGACGTGGGGTTCAATCCGGCGCAACCCTGGTAGCGAAGCTTCACTCAATAACACCGGCGATAGGCTGACAGGCGACGACACGCCGCTCGCATGAACAACACTCACGACCATATCAAAGGCCAATTCAATGCGGCGGTGATTGTCATTACCGTAGCGTGCCACGACTCGAATAAGGCGTCCTTAATCGGAGGATACGGGAGTGCTCGGACCATGGCGCGAGGGATCATTGCTGCTGCCCCTGCATCTTCATCACGATCCTCGGCACCCGCGATATGATTACCAGCTATAGTTCCCTTCTCTGAATTTCACGGACCAGCATGTTCCCACATGGACCTGTCGTTCCTGGTCGGCGGCGCATAGCAGCTTGCGTACCATTGGGAAAGGAGAATGAGGTGCCGGAGCAATCTTTCGCTTCTTCAATCCTTCAATATCGCCCAGACCCGCCACACAGCCACGGCAATGGATATGCAGTTAATTTCCACGCCTGCGAGCCTCCCTATGCGGTGGCCCTGGTACCTGCAGGTGACATGACGCAGGATTTCGCAGCTCTATGTAAAGCCAGCGCAGCACCCGCAAGCTTGTGGACCCTGTTTTCTCAATGCCCTTGCGTTTTCAGGTTTCTGCGTCTTAATCGAGATCGTGCGGTTTGGAGATATTTCCCCATACGGTAGACCTCTTCCTGCTTTAAGGATAGTTGTTCCCTTCTGAAACTCACCTTCGTCGCTCGCCTGCTTTCCCCGCTTCCTCTTGTTTGTTTGTTTTGCGATTCTATACGCGTATTTTTCTGGTGTAATGTCTAACATGGCTGTTTCGTGGGAGAAATCGACACATGGGTCTCTCACGCTATGGGATATCGATCGCGAATTCCAGGATGCGCATGAAGCGTACGAGCAGTGGCAGGCGCGGCATCGTCGCACGCGTTCCAAATGGTTGTGTCTCGGCACGAAGAACCGCGACGATGCTGTTGGCAAAGCTCTGCGCCTAGGGGGACAGATTCAAAGGATCATGGAGCAAGGAAAAGCAAGATTTGGGACACGATTCGAGGAAGGCGACAGTAAGTACGCGGTTCAACCCCGAGATGATAGAGACTGACCATGTGTAGCAAAATGCAACACCATCCTCTCAGCACAACTCCTACGAATCCAATACGAAATCAGACAACCACTTTACGACAGCGTTTTCTCTTCGACACCAACGATACCCATTGACAACATAATTACGACCGCCAAAAGCGTCCGTCGCGCCTGCCTTACCGCTCTACGCGAACAATACGCACGTCTCGAATCGCCAATACTATCACCCATACTGCCTCCTCCACGTTTCAAAGTAGAGTTCTGCCCATTCGCAGACAACCTGCGGAAAGATCTCAAAGAGTCCAAATCGAGCACACTACGCGCCAAGAAAGCTTTCCCACACGATAAACACGACGACAGGGAGATATGCCCACACTGCGATGCATGTATATCCGTTGCTGCTCACTCCGGACTGCCTGCATCCAGATGTATACTCTTCACCTCGCACATTGCGCTCGACACAATGGCAACGAACGACAAAGCGACCTTTGCATGCAACAGCTGCTACAAGACTTTCGATGATTCCTACGCCTTCCTTGATCATTACTTCCAGAAGCAAATCGGGAGTGAGAGGAGCTGTTTACGGCTGTCTGTACAAAGGAGCTCGAGCTGGTTCTTGAACGAGCAGTTCCTTGACAGCGACCCTTCGATTGTAGAACAGTGCCTCAAGAATTGCATGGCGAGAGAGACTATGCGAGGTAGAGGCCACAAAAAGATGAAGAGTCAGATCACTATACGACAAGTACATTCGAGCGGGAACGATTGAAGTTTTCCTGCCTGGAAATGATAGCACGACCATATATCACGCCGCCACTGGCAGGAGCAAAACAACGAAGCAAAGCAGCATTCGTCAGCACCACACGATCAGTTGTATACGAATGCGTCCTTTCGTACTGCTAATCAGCCATTCGAGTCGCAATGCGACGACAGAGACCTTACACATACCGTCTCACGACCCGCACACAAGTTCCACACCAAAGCCAAAGCTTTCGTATGAACGCGGACGGAACGCCGCTTTCTCCGCCTCTTATCTTTCTTGTATCATACATACCTTTTTCTGTACACATACGTTTATTCTCATGTCTAATGCCCTAATGTCTTTGTCAAGAGTTTCTAGATCGTAGCAGAGTACGTCACGAGCACGATAAATACGAACACGAATATACAATTGCGCATCAAAACCACAGCGCAAGCTCAAATCAATGAATACAAATACTTTCTCAAACCTGTATACACGATCATCATACCATTCCTATATATCCAGCGCTTCTTCACACCGCGCGCCGCACCCTCACATAACACAGCGACGATCACACCCATCGCATAAACAGCGCAAGCCGTGATATCCGCATGCCCAGACACACGTCAGATGGGCACCCCGGTTTCACATTGGCAACGGACGCAAACGCAGCTCGCAGAAGGAAAGGGAAAAGGACCGAGAAAGATAGCTTCATCTCCTCGGCCCTTTTCCCGCGCGGAACTTTCCCTCGAGCATGTTGCTCGTCACCTAACTGCAAGCAATCGGTCTCATGTCGCCAGACTGCAGTATGGGGACATGTACAATGATCGCAACTCTACCCGAGTGAGCTGACGATCTACCAACTGCGACACTCATCACCCAGCTTGTCCGTTCCCTAAGAATCGGGAATCGTCGGGGAATGAGCAGGACATACGCGCCACACCCATAGAACTCTATCCTAGCCACCTAAGACTACTATCAAGCCGACATACCCGTCTTGTATCCGGCCACTTCTTTCCTTTGCCTTTGCCTTACTGCACATACACATCTACTCAGCGTCGTAAAGCGAACGCGCCAGCGACGCGCAACCACATGAAACCACATCTGTCCGTGGGTCACTCACTCGGCGAAACCCCACCGTAATATGTCTTGGCTTTCTTACGTATGGATGCGCGTGGATACGAGATTATTCCGCTCATCACGAGAGGATTATCACGAACGACTGCTTGGGGTTCTTGGTGCATTGCGTGTTGGTGTTGGCCTGGGCGGTTGTGATGGGGATACCTGGTTTGTGTGTAGGGTTGGTTGGGGGTATGAGTTACTAAACACGAGGAACGCGCGGGTTTACTCGCTGATGGGAAAGATGATGTAGACAAAGAGTAGGCTTATATTAAGAAATTCATAGCTCATCACCCCTCACAAGACCGTCAATGTCACTCCCCAAACACGTGCTCTGTTTACACCCTCCAACATTCCACCACCGCCCTTGCTTTTCCCACCCCTTCCTTCTTCCCCAACCCCAAGCCCGAGCGGAGCCCCATAGCGCAAACAGCGTATCCAGCGTATCCGCGGCGGAACCTGGGCGGTATTGGCACAAGTCTTGGACGGCAAGTCTGCCGCAAGAAGAAGTCTACGTTGCGGTGAGCAGATAACGTGTCGAAACACATGTAGCGGAATGGGCGGAGCGGCGGTAAGCATTGGGCTGTTAACATGCTCAATTCCCATGTGTGGCTTGCAATTAGATTGGATCGGGCGGTCGGGGCAACTGGATTTCCGCTCTCTGGGTGCCATGCGTCTTGGACGCGTGTGGCGTTGCTCGAAGCATTGGAGGGGCCGAGGGGCTGAGTACGGGTGAGTTTGCGCCTGGACTCCTTGGTAAGGCGTGGGTAGTGGCTTGGAAGCGCGGGTAACCTGCTTGGAAATGCAACGGTGTAAAGTGTTTCGTACGAGGTACACTGTCAATTGCGAGTAACATGTGCGAGAGACGTTATGGGTGTTGTAGAGATGTTGTGGTATTCGAGGAAAATGGGGTATATCATGTCGAGCTCCGTTTGCTCTCCTACTCTTACACAGAGAGGCCCAATAACGCCGTGCTGTCATCCCAGATCAGCATTCCTTCATGTCCGATGCCCCTAAAACAAAAGTACGCCATGGTATATGCCGCTTAAACATCGCTCGTCCCATCACTGAGCGAACGGTAAAAACAAAAACTCGTCGTCGTAGCAATAACCTTCTCTTCAAACATGCGTCTCTCGCAGTCCCCTTGAGAGCCATCGTTCCCACCAGTTCCGTACGCCCACGATGCTCTCTTTGCCATCGTTGTGTCCGTCGTGACCTCCAGGGTCTCCTAATATCAACGAGAAAAACCAGAATCCTGCAGCGGTCCATGCGGCGATTGCGACACCGAATGCGACAATTGGTGAAAACAGGTGAATGACGACGAGCATAGGCGCACTGTAACCAGTCGTTGAGTCGTGGGAATAGACGAGGTGTAGCTGCAGGTTCAGCGCTGGTGCGAGGAAGGCTGTGATTTGTTCCGAAAATGACGGGCGTTTGGTGCAGAATCGCAATGGTGCTAGTGCGAGCGAGATCAGGAGGGCGAAGATCGTCCAGAGAGCGATGGCGCCTGAGAGGAAAGCACAGGGGCCGCAAAGCCAAAACTGCATATTGTTAGCCACGCTCCACAGGGCTTCGAGAAAGTAGAACACATACCAGTAATTGCCATGCCTTCTCCTCTGGGCCTTTCTCATGGTAGGCACCTTTGTCGTAGACGATCGCATCGCCGTCTGGTCCAGCCGCAGACACACGGTTTGGAGATCGGCGGCCTTGCGACGAACCGTAGCCATGCTTCTCGGGATCAAGATGCGCTTGTTGTGGATATTGTATGCTTCCTCGTTCTATCTCTGATCTGCTGGAGTATCGGATCTCTGCTGTTGAGTTGCGTTGTTGGCCGATCGAGGAGATGCTGCTGCAGGGGCTTGGCGCAGAGGATGCCTTTGGCGAGAACGGGTGCGAGATGACGGAATCATGGCCACGGCCAAAACTCGACTTGCTGTGACGGTCTATGCGGATGGTCTGTTGTCGCTGGTATGGCTCCTTCTCGTTGTAGGCGTAGTTGTACTCGTCGGGCGATGCGTTGGTTGATAGCTGGTGCAGCGGTTGGCTCTGCTGGGGGGGAGTGGCCGAACATGACACCGGCGGACGCTGGGATTCCATTGCCGGCAATTGGTAGTCGACGTCACTGGTTGACGGGCATCAGACGACGCTTTGAGACATGCGAAGTCGATGAGGTGCCGGGCATGTTATAGAAGAGGCGGAGACTTCCCTCAGGAGAGGCAAGACTCTTGTTACATACAATTACGCTCTCAAGACCTTGGGAGAAGGTCTTGGGCTTGGCTTTCATCCCCAAGGCTCGGCATTGGGGCTGGGCAGAGCATCTCAAGACGGGGACGGCCAATCACGGCTCGCGTGGGCGGTCCCAGCGCAACTCTCTTCCAGACGCCGCTCAGACCAAAGACGGAATTCGCGGCAGCGACCTGGCCTCATGTCGTTGGAGCCCCCAGCTCTCATCTTTATCATCTTCGCCCTTTGTCTTGGCTCGCGCCGACGATGCTGAGCAACGCTGAGCAAACGGACCGTCGCACGCTGGTGCACCTCGTCGTCGTGTGCAATGCCCTGTGAGAACGCGCCAAGCCGGAAACAAGCGCTACCATGGTCCGCCTAGGCTGTTCGCTGGATGCGTGAAGCTGTGCCTAGGAAATATTGAACCCACGGATCGTGGACTGTTGTACCGTAGGCATGACACCCCACAAGAATCCAATGCGGTTCTCCAATCCGCCTAGATAACGGAGGGGACCACAGAGGCGCGGCTGGTTACGGCCCCGCGGTGCAACGTCGCGAGCACTCCTTGTGTCGCATCGCCAATCCAAGTCGGAACGGCGGAGCGCATTTGATAGCGCTTGTTGGCGGAAATAGCTGCAAGTTGCTTTGCGAAGTCTGAATCCGGGCTCCAAGCGTGGCTGAAACGAAGTTGGCCTTGCTGATCTCGATCTTGGCATTGGCACATGAGAAGCTCAGATACTCTGTTGAAGGCGCCAGTTGTCCTGGCGTCCGCTGGCTATGCTGGCTTGGTCTCTATCAGGTGCTTTGTTTTGACCTGAATAAGCCCGTCGCTTTCTCGGCATGCTGTTCGTACCCTGATCGAACGGACAGCAGTGACCGGCTCAAACCTACCATTCCTTTGGTAATGCCTCATGCCATACAGCACGAAGCGCTGCCAGTGACGTCCACCTCAGTGTTGTTGCATTCACCGCGTGCTCCTTGGCATCGGATTCATTAGTGATCTGGCGATAAGCGTTCTGCTGCAGCCACAGCCGGTGGTAATACACAGCATGGCGGAGTTGATTTCCGCCCCGCGGGCAACCTTAGCGAACCGGGTATAATAGTGGAAAGAAATGTAAGCTGCAAGGCAAACGTCGGTTAGCAGCTGGCGCTGCGAGGAATGATGCTCTATGGCGCTGGGCGGGGTGTTGTAACGTTGATGGGGCTGTGATGTCACTCGACGTAAATGGAAGTCGCGATGGAAGGAGCGCCTAAGCACCTGCATACTCCAGCGTCAACAAACTGTGTGTTAGTCTTGATGAGGACGTCGCGATGAACCACGAGCATCCGGCACTTCCGACATGTGTACATGCTGATCATCGAGTGCGGCATTGGTTGGTCTGAACAAATTGTGCTTTTATTCGATCTCCTTCTAAATGGAAAATCAGATCCCTTGCTAAACATGACCTCAATGTGCACTACAGGGTCTGACAAGGCTGATCTAGACACCCCTTCGACCGCCAACCAGCTTCATACCTTCCCGCATGGCATCCGTCAGTCGGCTCATGACCAGCTCTTTGATGCCCTTCTTCTCCGGCTTCGGCATGAAGCCCAGCTCGATCAAATAACTGACGTACACGCCTACAGTGTCCTCCGTCACCGCACCGCCCTTGCTCCAATCCTCGCCTGTCCATGCTTGATCTTTCTTCAATGCTTCCGCCGCATTCTTGTCGTCGAGTTCAGGTGCCTTGGTGTCAGCAGGCAGGTCTCCAGTGACGAAATGGTACAGTGGTAGGAGAGCATTCTCCTCTTTCGTACCAGAGCGGTCAGACACGTAGGCTTCCATGTTTTGCTTCCACTCTGGGTAGGTAACAAGAGGAACATTGTATCCAAAGTTTTCAAGGGCTCCCAAGAACTCGTTGAAGGTGATACGGGGGTGTGATGTGATTTGCGCGACCCCTAGGGGCGCGATGGGCGGGTTGAACGAGGATGCCACAACAACGCGAGCGACATGAGTCACAGGAACCATGTTGATGGTATTCGTGATGTCGGGTCGTGATTTGAGTTGGATGCAACCCTTGAGTATACGCACGAGGAAGTCGTCGGTGTTGGTAGTGCCGTACTCTGGGTCTCCCAAGACATAGCCGGGACGAATGACGCAGCCACTCAAACCTTTTTGACCAGCCTGTCGTGTGAGATACTCGGCTGCCCATTTAGACTGACCGTAACCAGTGCCCAACCCTTTGCGAGCACCTTCCAGGTCGTCTTCTTCAGGAACGCCTGTCCCGCCACTGGCCAGACTCTTCTCGGACAGCTTGACAAAGTAGTCCGTGTCAAGCACTGATGTTGAGCTGACAAGACCGAAGTTCTTGGGCTTGCCCGCAGCACACATCGAGAGAGCGGTCATGGTGGAGATGACGTTGGGTCCGCGAAGACGTGAGTATGGCAATACCCAGTGTACCAATGCGCCATTGTGGATGACAACATCGACAGAGTCTACAAGCTTGTTCCAAGTATTCGGTTCAAGGCCAAAGTTCTCCTTTTCTAGATCGCCCACAAGAGGTTCCAGGCGTGATTCCCAGCTATCTTCCCAGATGCCATATGCAGAGCAGGTTTGCCTGACACGGCCGAGTGCGCCATCAATGTCTTTTGCACGGACAAGCACTGTAACCTTTCCGGGCCTCGACAGGACGTCTCGTAGGATGTAAGCACCCAAGAAGCCTGTCGCGCCAGTAAGGAAAGTATGTACTTCTTCCTTGGGATCCAGCGGCTCTCTAGTCTTGAACTCGGTCAGTTGATTAGCGAGTTCTCTGGCATCGGCAGAGTAGGCCTCGTCTTCTGGATCCTCATCGATGGCTTCTGCGGTGTCCAGACGCAGACCAATAGGATCCATAGCCTGGTCAATATTTGCCGAGAAGCCGCGCAACGTTGGGTACTGAAAGATTGTGGTCATTGGTACATCAATGTCTCTCCATTCTTGCCGGATCTTAAAGAGCAGTTGCTGAGCGATGATACTGTGGCCTCCGAGGTCGAAGAAGGAATCACTTCCGCTGATTCCGTCGGCTGTCACACCGCGGTCGCCTAGAAGCTCAGCCCAGATACCGGCCATGGTCTTCTCAGTTGGCGTCAAGGCTGCACCCAACTGTGAAGGTCGCCTTGCACCTGCCGCTGCTAGATGCGCTGGTTCTGGGAAGGGCAGTGCCGGTCGATCAATCTTGCCGTTCGGGTTGAGCGGGAATCGAATGAGTGGGACGATGATTGACGGAACGGCATATGCAGGGAGCTTCTTCTTCAGATGCTCTCGCACATCGTCTCTCAGATACTTGAAGCGCTTCAATAAAGTGACCATGCTGGTGTCATCGACGGAATCACTGTCTTTCGCACCGCGCTCCTCGAGCCAGTCGTACCAACGCTTCATCTCAGGAACGATGTAGCCTACGATGTTAGCAAACATTTGAGTTGGGATGAAGCTCTAACTTACTGACTAGTGTTGGCTCCTCATAGGCATCACGCTTCAACAGTGTGACGTTCTCACGCACCAAAGGATGGGCAGAGAGATGTGAGTCGATCTCACCAAGCTCGATACGAAAGCCGCGAATCTTGACTTGCGAGTCGACTCGTCCTGTGCAGTGTACGTTACCATCCTCAGAGTAATGGCCGAGATCTCCAGAGCGGTAGAGTCTGTCGCGTGGACCTTTGTAGAACTCTCGCCATGGCTCAGCGGCACCTTGGCTTTCCACCTTTTTATTGTCTTCATCTACCCACTTCTGTTGGTCCACAAACCAGTTGTCAACGAATTTGGTGGCAGTCAAGTCAGGCAGACCAAGGTATTCCTCGGCCAGACCACCGGCTCGCACGTATATCTCACCACTCTCACCAGGCTTGCAAACCTTTGTCCTATCTTCGCGGTTGACTACCAAAAGCTGAACGTTGTTCATGCCACGACCAGCCGGGATGACTTCACCGATTGTATCAAGGAATTCGGGCGCTTCGGAGCAGCTCGGTAGCTCGTAGTAACTGACAGCTCTTTGTGTCTCTGTGGTTCCGTACATGTTGACGATGCGTACATTGGGTGCCAAGTTCTGCAACCTCCTGCAGTCACGCTTGATTAGTAGGTCGCCTACGAAGAAGGAATGATGTAGGCTTGGAAAGATGGCGGAAGCGCCTCCCACGAGAATCTGGCCCATGGCAGGTGTGAGATGTGTGACTGTCGCGCCATACTTGCGCATCCACTCGGCGAGCTTCTCATGCTGTATATTCTCTTTGCTGGGTACTAGTAGTTGTGCACCGAGGAAAAGTGGTGTGAAGATGTCTCGCTGGATAGGGTCGTGGGCGATGCCAGAGAGCATGGTGAATTTGTCGTTTTCAGACAGTCCAAAAGTTTCGGCCATCCATGGGAAGTAATGGGTCAGCGAAAAGTGCCGGCCCTTGACACCCTTGGGCTTTCCCTCTGATCCTGATGTGAAGGAAAGTGTGGGTGTTGAGTCTGGGCCGACCAGCACTCCTGGCAGCTCGGCCTTGAGCTTCTGTTGTTCCGCCAACACGTCCTTTCCGTCCTTGGAGCCTCCCACGAGGGTTCCATCGTCCTTGAGCTCGAGCGCGGGGACTTCTGTCCGCAGTTGTAGATTGTCCTTGACGTAGTCCCTCACTTGCTCTGAGATGGGACCGGCTTCGCGGGTGGCCTTGTCGATGACTACGAGTGCGCGTGGCTGGGAGACTTCGAGGTAGATGCATTGGCGGTCTGGGGGGTATCTAGTGATGTCAGTAGGTCACTCTCTATTGGGCAATCTAGACTCACAGCGGGTCTAGTACTGAGAAGGTCGCTCCTGCCGCCAGAACAGCCATGATGGCGACCACTAGGTCCACGCCACGATGGGCAAAGATCATGACCACCTCCCCTCTCTGCACGCCATTTTGCACCAGATGATGGGCTAGTACCGAGGTAGCCTCGAATATGTGCTTGTATGTGAACTTGCGCTCGGGTGTTTTGCTGGTAGCCGTCTCTACCACGCATGGCCGCTCAGGATGCTTGCGAGCATTTCCTGCGAAGATCTCGTGGATGGGTCCCTTGAAATCAGACCAGTGAAGGTCCGCGGTCGGATCCGGGATGCTTCCTTTGGTAAGTGAAGCCATTGTCGCGCGTACCTGTTCCTGCATGTTCAAGGAAATATATGGCGGGGTCGCGTTGTAAGTGTGCGCATGCGCGTAGATAGTTCGCGGATGTCCAATTGGAATGTGAGCGAACAGAAGAAGGTACGAAATTTAGGCCTGGAGTGATGATTCTTCTCACGGCCTCTGAAATTGAAGAATGGAAGGAGAATGCAGAGTCATAGACACCAAGAGTAACAGAAGAGGTATGACGCATCCCGTCAAAATGCTCGACTCAGGCGACATCGGCCAGGGCGACCCCCACCACCGAAGGCTCGAAACGCGTGGGATGTCTGGGTCTGGGGCGCATCATCAGCCCTGCGCTAGCCTTGCACCTCGCCCTCGCCAAACTGGAAACGTTCCCTTAGCACGACGCGTCACCCGGCGTGTCAACTGGTGCAGTATCTGCGACTTCTGCGTCTTTTTGTGCCTTTTTGTCGCTCGTTACGTTTGCTTCGAAGCTTGCTTGCATCGCCTAGCGGAGCTGAGTTCGCGCCGCCTTGCCTTCAATCAGCAACATCAGGCCCACCACGGATACCGGCTCCAGTAGTCTGAAAGCGCCCATGTCGCCCGTGTTGCCATAGTCTGCCTTGTATTCACCTCACTTCCACATCCGATTGTGCCATGCCGACTCAGCATACCTTCATGGGCCGGCCCATTGCGCTGCAGATGCCCCCGAGGAGGTTCCAGGTCATCATCATCCTTCTGCTCTTCGTCATAGTAAACTTTACCTTTTACGGAACTCCAACACGCGACAGCATTCCGACCTATGACGAAGTCGCCGATGCGGTCAAGCACCCGCAAGCTCACCTGCCTGACTTGGGCGAGCTGCCAGCTGTACCCAAACCCTTCGGTCCCTCAGCACACAAGCCACCGGTTCAGGCAAACAGTACCACGGCCAGTGCTTACGGCGCTATAGAGTGGCTCAGTGATTTCAAATGGCGCAACCCTTTCTCCTCCCGCGTAACTCTCGACGAGAACACCGCCCTCCTACCACCGCTACGCGAACGACCGCCGATTTACACATACTACGACGTACCGAAGAAGCAGGACAAGGAAGTGTCTGCGGCAGAACAACGGCTGATACTGGCATGGCGACGGGCATGGTGGGCGCAGGGCTTCAAGCCGGTCGTACTGTCGCGGGCTGAGGCTATGCACCACCCACAATACCAGCTGTTCCAGCGCATGAAGCTAGATCCGAAGATCGAGTTTGAGGTCATGCGCTGGCTGGCATGGGGGCACATGGGTGGCGGCGTTCTTGTCAATTGGCTTGCACTGCCCATGGCCGAGTACGAGAACCCAATGCTCAGCTTTCTACGACGAAACGAATACGCCAAGCTGTCGAGGGTCCAGACCTTGGATAACGCCATCTTCTTTGGAGATCGCATGATGGTCGATGACGCGATCAAGAAGGTCATGGGCAATGAGTTGCTCAAGAATGTTACCGCGAGCAAGGATAAGCTGTTGAAACTGGCCAAAAAAGAGGGTGGTCCGATTGTCAACCTCCTGGACACGAAGGACATGAACTCAGACAGCAAGGCCGACGGCATCGCATCCTACAACATGGCTACGATCTCCAGCAAGTACAAGACGGTTGCCGACAAGTTTACCAACACGACACAAGCCGAGGCCCTCGACTTGCTCGCGAACCTCGTCAACTCGCATCTCCACCTGACCTGGCAAGAGCAGCACCCGGAAGGTGTGGTAATCGTCAAGCCTGCGCCGGAGCACACGACCGCTCTTTTACGCGAAACAACGGACATTGCTCGTAACCTTACTCAATGTCCGACCACCCCAATGCCCAAGTCGTGCCCCCCGAACCGACCAAAGTGCAAACCATGCGATGCCAACAAGGGAATGAAGCTTCAGCAGTTCCCCGAATTCGTAAACACGACCAAGTTCTTCACGATCGGAACCGTTCCCCATCCATACACGCTTACCTCGTTACACTACACGCGTGACATGATAGACAAGAACTTCCTCCGCAACAGCGCAGCACGCGACCTGTGGATTAAGAAGCTGACAGACAAATCTATTCCAGACGATCACACTGAAGAATACCGCGTACTCAAGTTCAAGGAACTCGTAGCAGCAGCTCCGGCTCATACACTTTGGCTCACAGCCGAGCGCATCACCCAAGACGACCTAGACTGGATCTTCGGCTTCGGTCTACCCCAGAACGCGTCTGCGAATGGCGAGCCCAGCTCACCCAGCAAGGAGTCCGAACTCATCGTCTTCCCCCGTCCAGACCCTCCCAAGCCCATCGAGGGTATCGACATACCGGACGAAAAGTGGATCGAGAAAGAGGAAGAGCGCTTGAAGAAGGCACGCGAGGCCATCAAGAGCAAGGACAGGAACATGAAGCTGGTAGTCGAAGCCGTGGAGCAGTGGAACCTGGCAGACACGGAAGCCTGGAGGTTTTCGCGTGCCTACTCAGCGAGAAGACGCCAAGAGCGGAAGAAGTGGGAAGAGGAAGAGGCAAAGTTCTCGGGTAGTGAAAAGAAGGCTGGCGTTAGACCTGGCGAGGGCGGTGGAAGATGGACCGATCGGAGTTGATTCAGTTAGCGATTTGGGTTGTTCCATAGAAGTATCTATTGGCGTTCTTGGGGTATGTTCAATACTAGCGTGTACAGCTTAGAGCTAGTGTCTGGTTAGAAAGTGAGATTGGCTGGACCATGTCTGTTACGACAGCAGAGCCAGGATGAGTCGACATCGACAGCGGCTGTGCCCAGGTGGGATGTTGCAAAAAGAGGTGGATGTTCGCTTGCAGGATCAAAAAAAGATGGGCAAAAAGAAGATCGAAAACATACAACAGCGGGGATTCGCTAGTGGTCACCCACCTAACTACTAATCCGCCGGTACACTGCTTGTATATGGCTGAGCGGACGGGAAGCCTAATTCTCAGTGTCCTATGGTCGTATGTGAAGAAACAGGAAAGTTTACCTATGATGTTCTCCCAGTATCAGTCTGACGTCTCGGATGCGATCACAGCCCACAGGCCATTGGTCTCTCCTCGTTGGAGCTAGTGTACAGTGGAGCTACCTCTTTAAGTAATCTGTTCCACTGCTCCATGAGAACTGACATCGGTATTTGCAAAACGCGACGATCCTAAGGCCCAACGAAGAAAAGGTCCCGGCTGACAATTGCTGCATTTTCTGATATCTACGAGAACAACACTTAAGAAAAACAAGATAGGTGCAAACAGATATGGTACATGTAGCAACGGAAGCCTTTATCTGCTTCCAGAAGCCTACAAAAGTAGGACACACAAGATGGCGAACATAGGAAATAGCGTGAAAATTGATGCCGACAGCCCTGTCATTGCTGAAGAACCTGCTGACGAAGTTGAAGTTGGCATAGCTGGATTGGTCGGATCAAACCCGATACTTCCGGTGTAAGCCATGCTGGTGCTCGGTAGCGAGGCGACTGGCGGCGCAGAGGAGGCTACGAGTGACGCTTCATCGTAGTCGTAGTAGGCAGAGTATGTGACAGTTGGCACATCTACTTCTTGGGTAGATGTTACAGGGGTGTCCAACCACCATCCCGTGCAGCTGACTTCGACGGGGTATTCCGGGTGGACGTAACACCGCTTAACAGCACGGCCGTCCTGGATGAAGCTGTCATGTGTTGGCAGGGGATACGATCCTGTATATAAACCGTCCTCGTCGTTGTAGACTGGTAGCCCATCGGGAGTAATGGCGAAGTCGCAATCGCTACACGCCTAAGGTCGATGTCAGCAGATTTTCAGACCTACTCGCTACAGAAACGCGCGTGGCTGAGAACGACTTACTGGAGTCCATTCGACTTCATCTCGTTTCTCTAGAGGCATTGAGCGTGCGATCTCCTCCGGAACTGCCCTTGGTAAATTCCTCTTGCACATGAGGCCAGATCTCAGGTCTTCATAATTGGCCACATAAAAGTAAGGCACCAGTATCTGCAAGTGCTGTGGTAACACCCCCGACTGGCATAGACAATTGTGGTAATTCGGGTCATCCCGCGGACAAGCCCGAAGCTGTCCAAGTATGGGACTGTCCCTTCTTTGCTTCTTGGTCAAGTTCTTCCAAGTCTCAACTATGAGGGTGCGCGGAGAAGTACAGTATCCGTTGGCCGCGGACTCATAGTGATAAGCCCTCGAGTCGCGATTGTCGGGGTACGTGTCGTCCTGGCGGCAAATAGGGTCCTTGATGGCACCATTCTCATCAGCCTCGACACAGTCGAGTACTTCGCTGAGCGAGTTGATCTCCCGGAGGCACTCATATTCCTCGTCCCAGTTGTCGGCTTGGCAATCTTTTGAATCCTGCCAGAGACATTGTGATTGCGAGTCGTGGTTCCCGGCAAGAGTCCATACCGAGAATAGGAGAACCAAAATGAAGGTGCGTAAGGAGTGCATGGGGACCAATATGACGGTTGTTGATCGTTGTTTCGTTTTTGGTTGTATGAATGAAGTGAGTATGCTCCGCAGATGAAGCCAGCGGCATTGACCATTCTCTTATACACAACTTCCTCGTAAGAGATCACGCGATCTTGCGGCAGTCTTCATATCTGGGTCGATGCGGCTCTTTGGGGGCTGACCAGTCCTGGCTGCATGCAGCGCGTCGTGTCATTCGCTTGGATGACATGCCGTGCCACCACCTAAAACAATTGAAAGCGCCACATCGCTTGAGACCTCGAACAACCTTGAGAGAGTTGGCTGGATCTGGATGTAGCGCTAGCCTTGGTGGAGATTGACCTGCGTCCGGTGAGCCTGCCTTCAGTGCTGACACTCATTTTCGAGCTGACTTTGCCTGCTGCACGGTTTCCAATATGACAGGCTACCCCGATATTTGAAATTCGTTCACCAAAGAACGCCCCTGCCGACTGCAGTACCCATGGATGATGACGGGATAAGAAAGATGTTATTGGCGCCTAAGGTCTACACTTATTCCACTGAAGCCGACGGCGGAGCCGATGGGGCGTTCTATTTGTAGTCGCATGAATACCGGGGGGCTCAGTACATCGGTATACCGCGGGCGACCCGTCTCTTTTCAGCTCTGCGTCGCAATGTGTACACCCACTCGTCCACGAACATCCAGAGCCAAAGAGCAGCAAATCCGACTGTGATAATGCTGGTCCCTGCAAGGCTAATGATGGCGAACCATCGACAAAAATACCAGAACTTCTCCCATTGGATCTGATCATCGACCAATTGCTCGACTGTCAGCTCAACCTGCATGGAGTTCAGAAGGGTGGTAACCAACGCAAAGACGAAGAGAATCGGTCCAAATAGTCGTCCAAAGATATCGCCATACTGTCCGTGTATCTGCTCGTAATTGAACTTATGCAGAAGCATGGGGGCGTAAAGGTTTAGCCTTGTCAGCCTCAGCTCTCCGTAGGCGTATCGTTGGGTGGTAGCGCTGTCCTCGACGTTTTGCAACGCTCTTGCAAAGTGGCAGAATCGATCCCACTTTGCATCTTCAGGTACTAGATGCTTTTCCAAAGCTATCCGGAAATCGGACTCGTGTCGTATCAGGTAGCGATAGGTCCTCAAGAAGCCTGTTGCGGCTTCGCGCACATTGTCCATGTGATTCTCTTCTCGGTCTTGAGACGTATCTAGGAACCTTTCCCAAAACTCGTGTGAACACAAGTAGCGGGGTAGAGGCTTTACGAAGATACGGTTGTTCATCCAAACCAGGTGCAGTCGCGGGTCTTCAGTGATGATTATCTCACGATCTTTGACCAGTTGTCGGTGGAGAGGATTGATGCTGCTGCTACAAGAGGTCGCCATGATCCATAGGTGTGGGGCCATTCTTTCGAGTTCCTGGCAGTAGAACTCATTTTTGAGGGTCTCTTCAACTCCTCTGGTATTTTGGAGGGAAACACAAGGGTGTCCCGGAAGGTGCACATGCTTCGCCGGATCCGCGGAGTCGGCTGTATAAAGATCATCGACTAATTGGTGGGCTTTGGAAAAAGGAGCCATTTTTACAAGGTATGAAAGGATCTGGAGTGGCTTCTGAAGAAGGCAAAAGGGTTGTTGCTATATCGAGCTAAATGTTGGGCGGGCTCCAGGGGGGCAGCTGCCTGCCTGCAGCCACACGCACCCCGCCCCCAATAGCCAATATTGGGACCATGCAACATCTCCCGAACTGACCGGTCTACATGTGCGACGAGCTTCAGCCTGATCCTCTTCCCATTCCTTTGCCACCATCAGGTAAACTTCTCCTTCCTCACTATACTGAACCTTTCTCTCCGAGAAAGAGGAGTGAATTATCATCATGGTGTGTAGAGTCAGAATGACGAATGCGATTGTCGAACACGGCTGACGTAGCGAAAGGTCCGCGACATAACAAACAAAGACGTTGGAATCAAGGTTCTGAAAGAGCCTTTGGAGGTGACTCAAGATACCATTGAGTACGTGAGCCCGATCTTACTGTCTGCAATACTAATGCAAATTAGTATAGTAGCGATTCATGGCATCGGCGCTCACCCAGACGATACTTGGACGAAACGTGTCGAGACTGAAGATGGCAAGGCGGCATACATCAGCTGGCTTACTGAAGGGCGGATGCTACCTGCGGTGGCTACAAATGCGCGAATCATGCGTTATGGCTACAAATCCAACTGGTTTGGCAAGAAGCCTATGCAGGCCAAGGTCAGGGATGTAGCGACACGCCTGCTTAATTCTCTGACCATGTATCGAGAGGTACTGATGAAGCTTTCGTCGAAGGGGGCGGCATTTGCTAAATCATCCGAAACAGGAGTTCAATTATCGCCCGCTGATCTTTATTACCCATTGCTTTGGCGGCCTCATTGCGCTCAAGGTAAGAAGCATCGCAAAATGCATTTTGACCCCACTGACACGATCCAGGCATCAGTGCTGGCACGGAATGACGAAGAAGATTGGAGACCTATCTTCAAGTCCACGATCGGCCTTCTTACTCTCGGAACACCTTTCAGAGGTGCCGACGGAATGCAATACCGGGAAATTGTGGAGGCGGCGTTGAGAGAGTACACCGAAGACGAAGTTCGAGCTGAGACTATTGACGTCTTGCAGCGCGAGAACGAAACACTCAACGACCTTGTCACCGAGTTTTGTAAAATACACAAGAGAGAGGGCCATGCTCAGATAGCCTGCTTCTACGAGACGGGTTACACGGACGTGGGCAAAGTAGTAGGGGGCGAGCAACGGATTGTAAGTGCAGACCAAGTCAAGGGTGTGACAATACTGACACACTTGCAGAGACTTCTAGTCACCGAAAGCTCAGGTCGTCTCGACTTTGCTGACAATGGCTCGATCGCGAGGGACCATTTTGAGATGAACAAGTTTGAGGAGCCGGGCGAAGAAGACTTCATGCTAGTCATGAAAGCGCTGAAGAAGATGATTAGAGGTGCGAATTCACGAATGCTGAGTCTTTCCGCATCTGGAAACGCTGAGTAATTGTCTGGGGACATTTCTGAGGTTTTCTAGGGTCTACCGAATATGGTGAATTGTTCAAAAGTGAGCAATGCAGTATTTCACTTCAACCTGCTTACTAAGTGATTGTCAGGATGCAAGACCATGCTTTATCAACCAGAAACCAAAGAATTCGATACGAATATCAAGACCTTCGACACCTCGATGTGGCTTTTCTGTCACGAAAAATTCCTCGCCTGGAACGACGGGCACGCGAGCGGCAAACCAGAATGCAGACTTTTGACCTTGAAAGGCAATCCAGGTACCGGCAAGACTGTTCTCATCAAGGAAGCAGCGACGCAATGTAGCAAAGAAGGAAACATAGTTCTTCGACATCATTTCACGCTACAGGAGCCGGGCAAATCTTTCCCCCATGACCGTTTACATGCATTTTACTGTTCAGTTTTGTTTCAGCTACTGGAATTAACTTCAGTACAGCCCAGGAGCTTCTTGCAGAGTTGGGCGGAAGAGATCAAATTCCAACTGGAACCTTCCCCTTCGTACTGGAGTAAAGTCAGGCTAAAAGCCGCTATCCATGAGATCCTGTTCTCGAATACGACATCAATCTACCGCATCTTTGTCGATGCATTGGAAGCCTGTGATAGCACCTTAGAGGAGTATTTCGCTACCCAATCCCTTGATTTCCTCGAATTCATCGGGGAAACACTACGTGGATCTGCCCAGGCTGGAGTGGATGTTAGAATCTGCCTCTCTAGGAGACACTATCCTTACCATGGGGAAGAGGAACCCGAAACCCTCAATATCATAGTCGAAGATAACATCCAGCACATAGTGGAGGAGTTCATCAGGACAAAACTACAAGACATCAAAGACAGAGGTGCCAGAGAGCTTGTGTTCCGTCGTTTGGCGAGACATCGTATTCGTGAGTTTTGTTGGCCTCAAAGAGTAATCAACCAAGTCAGGGCAGCACACCTATCCACTCATAATGGCATCATGAAGATTGTCGAAAGGGAGTTTCTAGAGCTCGAACGCGGTGTCGGGTCCCCCGGTTACGGACACGAGAGCATCGGGCTCGAAAAAGATACCTTGAATGACCTTGAGACAATTCAACTTCTGCAGCTGGCTACTGCAGCTCGCCTGCCAATGGCCACCGAGGAGGTCAGATATGCGCTGGCGTTCTCGGGCCCACGTGGTCCAAAAGACATCAGAAAGTGGGAGAACTCGAATGATGCGTGGAGACCAGGCGAAGCTTTCGAGGGATACATTCGACAGAAATCTCACGGCCTCTTGGAGGTTCACTCTACTATGGGAAGCAAGAGAACGATACGATTCACTCATCCAGCGGTAGAGGGACTGGTGCAAAATTCGAGCATCTCGGCCTCAATTCAGCCATCAGAGTGGAAACAACAGAGCCACTTTACTCTACTGAAGCTCTGCTTTGGAGCTCTAGAACAGTGTGTAGACCTTTTTCTCAAAGAAAAGGTTACATTCCCGTTCCTAGAATACGCGTTCGAGCACTGGGTGTATCATGCAAGAATGACCGGGAAGCTGATCCACTTAATAAAAAGACTTCCACGCTTTCTTGACACTTGCATCATCAAGAAAGCGGAAACGATCATCGAGCGTCACTTGGAATTTCTCCTGGAATATCATGAGACAGGACTAGTACAGCGAGAAGAGCTTGCACTCACTACATTGATAACCTCCAACGATAGCATACTAGTCCTGTTAGCATCGCATGGGTGTACTGATGCAGTCGAACATCATCTGTCTCGTTGTAACCCTTGCAAATCTGCGTCGCAGCAGCTCGGCGAAGGCCAATACCGGAAAGCGATCGACAACGCCATCATCGTAGGCTTCCCTGAGACCGCAAAGTGGTTGCTGGAACACTACAGTGGGCGCGAAGTTGATGTCCATCGGATGGAGCAGACCTTGCTGTTTAGAGCATGCTACAGAGGCTATGTGGACGTGGTGGATGTCCTATTGGAGAAGGGTGCCAATCCCACAGTACCATCTCTAGTTCCTTACGACTTCCCCCTACACGTTGCTATCGAATTTGCGCACGAGGAGTTAATCCTCAAGCTCATCGATAACGCTGAAGAAGAGATTATTCGGGTTAAGTGCCAGCCCTTTGGCAAGACTGCACTCCACGTCGCTATACAGAGTCGGAACCCACGCAAGCTGGAAGTCTTGCGATGTTTGCTTGACAAGATTGCAGACAGATTCCCTGACATCGCGGAGGAGTTGGTGAACATTCCCGACAAGGCCGGAAATACCTCTCTACAACTAGTTCGGGATGAATGCGCCAGAGACGCTTCTGATGCGGATGACTTGAGGGAAGAGATTGTCATTTTCTTGGGTGGAAGAGACGACTGGTGCGAAGATGAGACGTAGCGAGTCACTTTGCCTACACCCGGCACCAGTTCTGATGTACTACCAGAGAACGATGTAGGCTGCCGTTCGTGGAAGATCAAGGGAATGCAGTGTTGATTTCTGGACCGTGCGGGGGTGCAGGTGGCGTGGCCTCGCCCTGCGCCTATCTGCCATCTTCAACCCGCAAGCCAATCCGACTTTCGATTGGAGTGCACGGGGATTCAGATGTAGACTAGTAGTTTCGCAATGTTAGGTACATTCAGCAAGGTCTCAGTTCTACAACACTGCGCCCAAAACCGATCGATCAGGCCCCCCAGCTTTTCAGGCGCCCCTAAAGCCCTGCGATCCTACATACCTAGGTAGCCTGCGCGCGTCTCACGCTTATTCTCTGCCAACGATCGCTCGCGCAACACAGGACAAGCAAGTATGGCAACACAAGAAGAGAGCCAGGTTAAAGGATGTAAAGAATTCTTGCAGAAGTTTGAAAGATGGGCAGATCCGACCTGGGGCTTCTTCGTTTACGGCACCTATACGCGCCCACAAGGCCAGGAAGTCTCAAACGAAGATACAGATAAGGAAGACAGAGCAGGTCAGTGGAAAAGAATGCAGCCTATCGAGTGCAAGTATTCATGAACAATAGATGCGACCGATGATGATGCGCACTTCCATGCAGTGGTCCGCAAGGTCTACGCCCACGCAACAGATAACCTGCGTTACAGCAACCCCGCGCCGTACAACCAAAAGATGATAGACATCTTACGTCTCGATGCTGCTGCTTATATGCCTGGCGCGTCGCTTGACGTTGTCTGCAGGCATTTCCGCCAACATTATGCTCAAAAGGTCTTCCCGGAGACAATGGGTGAACCTGGGCCTCCCGCAATACAGGACGACATTCCCGACGAGGAGAAACTCGGTCCAAAGTGGGCCTGGTGTATAGTCATCGATGATGAGGCGCTTGAGAGTCTGGCGAACGGCCCCGAACCCATAGGAGATGCGCCGCCAGAAGGCGTAAGTTCTCTTAAACTGGCATACAATGCCAAGGAGGCGTTTGTAAAATTGCTAGATGGGATGAAGACGACGATGGAGGGGCCTGAAGTGATCGCTGCAGGTGGTCGTCCAGGTGGTGAAGGACCTCAAACAGTGTGGAATGGATGGCTCAAGTTCTCGCCTGTGGATCTTATGGGTGTCTGGATTCAGGCGGAGAGCAACGGTATCATTGATCAGTTTCACGGAGAGGATAAACTCTTTGACTGGTAGTCATCGAGGGTGATGTGCTGCATATGCGATGACAGTTTGGGTACATACACTTGGCACTCCAATCGATCAAATCAGATCCTCTAGGCAACCATCCTTCGTTAAAAAGTAGCCGATATATCCGAACTCACCTACATCATGTTGGTAGAGTCATGTGAAAACTAACACAACACTCACGATGGCGCACCAGATATCACTGACTCCGGTAGGAGATAATTCAGCTAGCGCGTATCGGTGGCGATGCTGACTTTTCGAAGGGTTACAAACTGCACTCAGATGTAACAACGCTGACACGCCCTTACACCTTCCTCGTAGCCGTTACACCGAAATCATCGACCATCATGAGATACGGGGCGCCTTCAAGCCCCAGCATACAGCTGCATACACAGCTCACTCCTGCTCAAATTCAACTCATCCAGTCCCACGAGGACTTCGGCGAAGTACGCATCCCAGTCAGCGAGCTTGATCTCGCAAACTTCCTTCGCAGCCAGATCGAACTCCTGGCTTCATCGCAAGACGCACCGACGGTATCGAAGCTGATCGCCCGATTACTAGATGCAAATGTTGGCGATGATGACCATGGTAGCGGTAATGGTGGCCACAGCGTTGTAGCCCATATCCTAAGCTTCACAGTTCTCGGTGATCAAAGTGGGGAGCTGGTTCCAGAGGGCCGCATGTTACTGTGGAAGTGGGATAAACCTCAAAGCCAGTACCGGAAGACAGGCTCCTGGGGCCATAGTTTGACAAAAGTCCTGGTCGATGCCGAGTGGAACACTGGTAAAGATGTCACGCTATACGTGAAGGCTGTTGAAGAGGAAGAGTATGAGAGGGTGTTGAAAGGCGAGACGAAGACATAAGCGGCGTCCACTTGAGATGAGAACGGGTAGCGTAAGGTGTCTTGATGTGGAACACCTGGATGTTAAGACAGGAAGAAGGGGCGACCGTGCTTTTTCGAGACAGCTCATTGTGGAAGGCGCTATCCTTGATTAGTGTTAGGCTCATTACGCGTCGAAGGAACGTTCCTTCCGTCACTCATCTTCAATTCAGAAGTGAACGTCAAAACTATGCATACAACACTAATACAAGCGTTGTCTATGAGCCTTTAATCAAGAAGGACCTCATATGTACATCCGAAACCATCTAAGCGTGTTCAAAAACGTAAACAAAAGCACATCCCTCGTCATCTCTCCAAACCAGACGCAAATACCCACCTCACGAACCACTACTACGCTTCCGCAGCAGCGGCATCGACGGCATCTTCGTCAACCGTCTAACCTTCGCCAACGCGTTCGGACTTGGGCTCAGGCTCGCCGTCGGTGTCTTATCCTTCATCGCGTTCTTGGACTCCGCAAGGACCTCACCTGTACCAGACTTGTGTGGCACGAGGAAAGAGTCGAACGTCGTCGCTGGGTTAGCGCGGAAGAGTACTTCTTGGTTCAGAGGGCTGCGTACATGGTTCGAAGAGCTAGACGATGACGGGCCTGATGGGCTTGCTAGAGGCGAGATATGACGTGTGTTGTATGTGCTTGTGCGAGAGCTGGACGGCTGGTAGAAGTAGTCTCCGCTACTAGCTGCACGAGCGTGTGAGTAGCGACGGTTGCGTGGCTCTTCGTACTCCTCAGGTTGTGCAGTTGGTGTTGACCGAGGCAGCGGAGGTGGCAGCATAGAAGAGCGAAAGTCGTATGTCGGAGAAGACTGCCAAAACTGTGTGCGAACATGTTCTTCTTCCTTCGTATTGTCAGTTGTTTTCCTGATTCGAGGTATGTGCAATTTATTACGCACCTTCTCCTTCGTCTTGGCTACAGTGCACTGGCTTTGCTGCATCTCGTGGTCAATCTCCGCGAGCGCGAACATCTTCTCTTCCAAGGGCATGGCCTGGGGTATCAAGCCCCTGCGATCCCCATGGTGAGTGAAAAGGCGCTCGTCCGACCATTCTTGGAGGTTGTGGTTCTTCTCGCCTTGTGCGAGCGCTGTCAGGTCCTCTACAGACAGGGCTTGAGCGTAGTAGCGTGGTTTTGGCGCGGGTTGCTCCCATGAGTAGAGCGACATAGAGTCGACTGAGTGACGACGCGCGCTTGACTCTGTAAGGTGGTATCGAGGTTGCGGGGTGGTGCTTGTAGAGCGATTAGTCGCGTTGCTAGTCACGAGAGGCGTCAAGAAGTCGGTGTCGAGTGGACCAAAGTGCTCCTGCAAGGAAGAAGTGAAAACAGGTACTGCCACTGGTTGTTCAAACGGCTCACTCAAATTTGCAGCGACATTGTACGAAGTAGAGTCCTCTGTGCACCCTGGGACTGTGTGGTTCAAAGGCTCCCGCGGGATCGCATCAAAAGAGAAATCAGAAGCCGCATCAGAGTCGTCCACTACGCGCGGCCAGATTTCATCGCCAATTTCATCGTCACATGCCTTCATCTTCCCTTTCGCAGACGCTGTAGGCGGTGGGTAGTCCATGAGCGCGGTTCACACTCGTTTCGAGACTTGCAAGGTGAATAGAAGATATTTATATATTGCAAAAGCTCTTCCAAAATGGGTACGTGTGATGGGTTGGAGATGCGTGCAATATTGAGCTCTCAATGATGAAGACGCCTTTCTTGGAGCAAAAGATACCTGCTTTTATGCGCGTGGGCAAAAGTCAGTGTGAAAACCCATCGTCTGTACGATGCGCTCCTAGGGTATAGAAGCCTCCATCATTCACAATGAATGATACCTTGATGAGTGAACAGAGCAAGACGCCCAGAGAGCCTTGTACGAGGCACCGGCCCGTCATTCACTGCCATCCCCGAAGCTCCTCTGATCTCATGCTGGGCCTTCTGCCTTCGCTTCTTCTTCATGCATCTTTCTCTTCTCTTCCTCGGGTGTTCACTGCCTCCTCGCGGATGTGTAACTAGCTGTCATACAGCTCACTTCCGGCATTTGCCTTCTCTTCGTGCGATGCGTCAGCCGTGGGAGTATCGACATGGCTTCCGAATGACATCATGTGCCAGATGTCTCAGTTGTGCGTCGCCATTTGGCGTACGAATGTTTGTTATTTTGCGTCCCATTATCCATCGCATTGTTCATATGCAAGCCCAGTAGAAAAGGCTAAAGACCATGGTAGCGGCGCCCATGTATGCGGATGAAAGAGGCGTGTGCCGAGTTCCGAGAGAGGTGGGGTCGAATACGGGTCTACGGTCGTCGTTAGCTCACGTTCCTGACTTGGCGTAACTTCTAGATAAGGCAAGAATATCATCGGTACGCAATCTGCCGGTATATGACAGGCCACTTGGTTAGAGAGGGTGTAGACTTACTGCTTCAGGTGCAGACCCATGTCGTCGATGGCATCGCACTTTTGCCACTCAGTCTCGGGAATAGCTTCCATGGCCACTTCATTCTTATCATTGAAGCTTAATCGCTGCCCTTCGCTCGCGCCAAATGAGTGCCAGTCCGGGCTCTGTAGCTCTGAACCTTTGGAGACTAGATACTCAGCAGCGTGGGTGTTTGGGTCATAACTTCGTATGAATGATGCCCAGTACGCCTGGACAAAGACACCAGCCGCTGAAGTGGCATTGTTCCAGATTGGCAGGAGCTCCCCAACGTGCGATGCGGTTCCAACGTTCCATCTGTACTGCCAAGTCGGGTTTGTGTTATTGAGGGCGTACGTATCAGTAATGTTGAGACTGGGGCAGTTGTAGCGGATATAACCATAGACATCGGCGGTTAATGATCTCCAGCGAGCGTCGCCAGTGGTTCCAATGTTCCCATCCCAGAGCTGACGAATCGTGTCCCATTTAATACCGGGGTATTGATCAACTAGAAAGTCTTGAGCTCGAGGTTGAGACATGATACTCTTGGCCACAAAGTTGATCCCGTCGTTTGTGGCGGTACCGAAAATAGTAGGCACGTTGACGAAATGACCGGCCTTCAGTTCATTGAAGGTGAAGTCTTTGATGAAATCGTAGTCCAATGTCGGGTTCCAGAAGTAAAGCGGTGGGTTCTTGCCGCCTGGAAAAGGCTTCAGCAGAGTACGCACAGCATCCTGAAAGATGACCGCATCCAAGCTGGCCATACAGTTGAGATCGGCGCATCCAGTTTGGTGTAGTAGCTCATCATACTGCCATTGGCTATTGTCCACGTCTCGCATGGACGGAAAGGCTGGAGATTCAGCAGCAGCAGCGTGGAAGAGGCCATCATCTCGGCCACCGTATGCGGTAAGTTGGAAGACCACTGAACCCCCACCAGCACTTGCGCCTCCAATGGTAACGTGCCCCGGATCGCCTCCGAACTGCTGAATGTGCTTCTGAACCCATTCGAGTGCCTTCCTCTGATCTTTCAGTCCATTGTTCAAGCTCAGGCTCTGGTTTGCAACAATTTCTTTGCTAGCCAGAAATCCATAAGGCCCTACTCGATAGTTGAAGTTGACCACAACCATGCCGTCGTCGCCGGCATCAATCAAGTCTGCACCGTTGTAATTGGCATTGCCGTTCATGTTGAAGCCGCCGCCTTGGATGAAGACGTAAACTGGCAACATACTTTTGTTGGTAGCTCTCTCTGGTGCAAAGACGTTGACGAACAGGCAGTCTTCCGAGTGTTTCCCCCCAAACTCGGCTGTCAGACTGCTCTTGGTGCCGATACATAGGGGTCCAAACTAAACTGCTGTTAGCGTGGTGTCTACAAACCGTGAAAACGCTCTGTACCTTTGTAGCGTCAACAACATTGCGCTCATCTTCGGGATCTTGAGGTGCAGCGAATCGAAGTCCATCTGAACGGATTGGCCTGCGGGCATATCGCATTCCAGCCCATCGTATGACACCATTGCCGATATCTTTCCCACGGTATTGCGCGTATCCGAGGTCGATGGTCTCCTTCAATGCGAGGGCGTGCTGAAAGAAAAGCGCTGCACAAAGCAGCAAACGAAACATTGTCGACAGCTGTGTGAGAAAGCGAGGAAAGAAAGGCAGCCGCAAAGTATCTTGACAATCTGTATCGTGTTCGGCCGCGCTGCCCCTGGTTGTCGCCGAAGGGTCGTTCCGATACGAGCTATGCTATAGTGCGGCAGGGCTATGGTAGATCGGTGTTCTAGGGGAACGAGATAGAAAAACAAAGGGAACTTGACAATTGCATCATAGTTTCATAGCGGGAACTGGCGTGCGAAGGTACACTATTTCCGAGGCGTTAGCATTCACGGGTGGCGTCTGTTGGCACTGTGTGAGTACATACCGTGCGAACAATCAGTGACATTAGCATCGTGCTGCTAGCAAACGTAAGCTCGAGGGCTGAGTCGGTGGTAGGACAACTCAGGTCCACGTCACAGAAGGGCGGACTCCGCGGGCATAAAAGAGCCCGGGCGACTTTGTTGTTGGTCTGACCTAGGTACCTATCGCTGCATTGCTCAACACGTACCGCCGCCAGCCACAGCATCAAGCCAGGGTAATTCGAAATCCAGACCATTTGCATGCATGAGGATGCGACAGACACCGTGACTGGGTAGCCCTAGGCCTATGGAAGTGGATAGTGCTGACCAGGGTGATTTACCGACAGGTCGTAGCGCGCGCTGACGGTGTAATTACACCGAGACCATTGCTGCACGACTTCAGGGCTGTGTTTCGTTGGACGACTGAGGCCCGCGGAACTCAATCCGGATTGAGGACAGCGATAGGGGCAGTTGGGAAGATGCAGCATGATGGCTAGCGCTGGACGGGACGGCAGATGAGGATTGACGACAACAATGAGATCAGATCTACGATAGAAGAGCGGCTGGCGGGCGGCCAGCGTTGATGATCAGAAAGCCATGTGGGACCTGCAGCTAAATCCATGATGCGAAAGCTTGATCACTCCAAGGATGATAAGCGACATCCTTGCCGGCTTCCCCCCAAATGGCAGGATCGGCCCTGCCAACGCCCGTCGAGCACGGCTGAAACCTGGGCACAGGAATGAAACCACCATGGCCTTGCACAACACACCCGCCCTCAAGAAATTTTGTGGAAACATTCATGTTCTACAATCCAAGGTTTTCGCTCATTGCTTGGCCTCATCATAGCACGCAATGATGCTGCGCAAGCTCATGTGGAAGACTTGGCTTCATCGCGATGTCCGAATGGCGTTCAAAAGCCACGTCGAGACGTGCTTGGCTGATCCTATTGCAACTTTTGTGAATGCCTAGGTACGCCCCGCTGCATCGTCAGCTGTCATCTCAAGTGTACTGTGTGTTGTTCAAGCACTCGCCCGGCTGGAAACCTGCTAATCCTAAACACATGGTGCTCCTCAGGGACTAAGTGCGTCATTAGGGTTCATTCCAACGGTCGTGCATCAATAAATTTCATCCACGGTTCAGCCACAGTGAACCAAGCAGCAACTCTTCAATTTCGGAAACCGAAAGTCTACCGAGCACGGATGAACCCCGCATCGAAGCACCAGAGCGTTGTTAGATTCGGTGATCCGGGGGAGTGCACTGCCGCGGAACTCCAAGCTATCCGAACGCCATGCAAGCCACTGAACCAGACTTCTAGAACTTCCACCACTCTTAAGCCTCACCATGTATACCTCAGCATTCTACAACAGCACATAAAGGACGTTCCGCACATGTTCCGCAGTTGCAAGATGCGGAAGTCGGAGCTTACTTAAGGATGCCGTACGAGGCAGCGGTAATCTACCTGAGTATGCTGTGCTTCCGATATCGCTTCTTAAATGTACGAACCGCGAATTGTATGCAGTGTAGTTGATCTCAAATGCATTTGGAATGGTGTCTCTCTTATGATGGCATTGCTACTGTCCAACGCGCTTGCCCTCTTCTAGTACAATCGACACTTCTTGTGGGTTATCATATTTCGAAAGATACTCGAATGCATCTTTCGAAATAATATGCATTGGCACTCACTCAATCACTCCTGGGAGATATCCGCTCATTCACTACCACTCCATACAACGCGGAATTGTTTAGGGTAGGCGCAGGCACGAGCTCTCACATGTATGCATTTCAAAATGCGTTACATCTGGAAGGCAACTAGTTATATGTGTCATCTCATCGGTCTTCGCATATATTTCCATCTCCCTACAATGGCATGAACACAATCGAACGTCTTGTTCACCCTCCCCAGGATATACATATCCACATCATCCATACTCCTTCCACTCAATCCCCTCGACTCCCCCGTTCACTTCTTCTCTCCGCACCCCCTCAAAAATCAGTAACCCTCCCATTATAACTCCAATCCCCCGTCTTCCCCGTACTCCCCCACCTAAGCGGTTCATTCTTCGGTCCGCCCACCTCCCCCGTCTTAGGATTGACATCGCCCTCAAACTCCGGCGGCGCCCCTCTCCTCATATTAGGATGGAACTCCTCTCCCTTCTTAATCTGCTTGCCATTCTCAAATCTAATCTCCGGTCCTTCACTACTAGCACTATCAGGCGACTGGTTTATCTGGGGTCGGGATGACGAGGCAGGAGACGCGGGTGTAGGAGACGAGTCCGGCGAC